TCCCCCACGTGCTCTCCATCTCCGTCTTTTTTTATATCACCCGACCACCCCCATCTCCACCCACAACCCATGCCCTAGCCATAGCCCAAGCCGCAACCCACCCTCTCACTCTCCTAAGGGCAAAACCATGAATTTTTCAATGGTAAACTGTTGAATACCCCCTTGAACAATCACGCTTGTCGAAATCTCCGCCCTGAATTAATTTTTTAGTCAATTTAGACATTGTATTATATTTATTGGCCAATTTCACCCCTGCTGTTAGCTTTTCACAATTCCATCCAAATTTCTGTAAAAAAACACCACGTGAATGGCACATGCGGCTACTGTTAAGGGTAATCTCGTCACCCAAACCCATCCACCCCCACCGCTCTCATTTGCTTAACCATCACCTCCTTCCAGTCTCTCTCTCTCTTCATCTCTCTCTCTCTCTCTCTCTCTCTCTCTCTCTCCTCCTACATAGAGGACAAATTCACAAAGCACAAGAACCTAGCAACAGCCTGGGTCTGTGTCGAAACTCTTTCCTTTTCTCTCACTTCAATTCCTCAAGAATCTGGTGTTTTTTCCACTTCAAATCTCACACTTTTCCAATCACATAAAAAAAGGTGTTGCTGAAATTGTGGATTCGAAATCCTGGGTTTGCTCCAAAATAGAGTCTTGGCTAGGGTGAATGAATTTTGTATAGTTCATGATGTTTTCATTAGCCATCTGCACCCAAAAAAAAAGATTTTTTTTTTTTTCATGAGCTTCTGAAAGGATGATGATGAGGAGGCAGATTAGATCAAAACAAGGTGGGTGTAGTTGTTAAGTACATGATGGGATTCTTCTGCTTTCTTTTGCTGTTTGTTGTTCACTTCCACTTGCTCCTAAGTTTGGCCTCAGGAGCCAGAAATTTATCTTCACCTCAAGAACTACAACAAGAACAAAGCTAGAGTGATGATGATGAGGTGGGGCTCCTGTTGGCTTTCAAACAATCTTTTGTTCCATCTTATCCCCAAAATCTCACAGCCTACACTTTCCAACTCTCATAGCCTGGCCGAGTCTCCAAAATCTCTATCTGCAAGGCAATTCATTCTCTGTTGCTGATCACTCTGTCTCCAACATAACCTCATGTAGACTTGAGACTGTGGACTTGTCTTCCAACAACATCGCTTTGGTTCTTCTGTGCTTCAGCTTGACCTCTCCAAAATAGAGGTCTTAAGAAGTAGAGAAAAAAAAAATCAATTTTTAATTCAACAATGAAGCGTGTGCCTGACATGTGACCTTTTTAACAAAGATTTGGATGGAAATTGCCAAAAGCTAATGGCAGGGGCGAAATTGACCAATAAATTTAATACGAGGGCTAAATTGACTGAAAAATTAATTTAGGGTGGAGATTTTGACAAGCGTGATAATTCAGTGGGTATTCGGCAGTTTACCCATTTTTCAATGGATGAGCTAGCGAAAGTTATTAGCTTAAAATCTATGACCTTTTTCTTTTGCACATACAATTTCTATAGTCTTTCTAGAAATAAAAGTAAACATTAAATCATATAAACCACGTTAGTTCATAGCTCTATTGACTAATTTCCAATAAGCATTATCATAAAACAAATACATATAAAATGTATGAATTTTTGTAGAAATGTCACCTGACACACATGGGATGGGGCTGTGATGAGGGAATGGGGAATGGATTTCAAGGAGACGGGGTTGGTTGGAGCTGCCGGTGGCACACCAGGGATGGGGGAATCTGATTTTTTTTTTTTTTTTCAATTTTACTTTTTTAAAAGATATACAATTTTTGTTATAATGATAATGATTTCCCCATTCCAATTTTATCCACTTACACTCATTTTTTAGTTATAAAATGAAGTGCAAGTGGATAAAATTGGAGTGGGAAAATCACCACTCTTTTTAAAATACCCTTAAAATGGAAAGACTAAAATACCCTTAAAATAGATGGAAAATTGGATAGTATTAAAGTCAGATGACAAATCATGAATTTTGAAAAATTAAGGTGACATTTCTTTTAAATTATTTTTTAAGGTCATTTCCAGCAGCCCCCTAGGGCTCGGGCTAGGGGGGAGCCCAAAACGCAATTCCAGCAACAAAGGCTGGCCCGGGCAAGGTGGGGTCCACGTGCCTGGGCTGGCCCGAAGGCGGAGAGAGCCCGAGGGCGCGGCTGACGTCATCGTTGATGCCAGTGTGACGTCAGCACGTGGTTTTAAAAAAATTTTACGGTTGGCACGTGCATTACGCGCCAACGTTACAAAAAATTCAAACACATGCGTCAGCTTTTCCCCCAACGGCTCTGTGCGACGTGGCGCGCTGTGGTCCTTCCAATTTCGCCTTGTCATCCAATCCAACGGCCTAGCATTTTTCAAGGCAAAAAATTATGAAAAAAAAAATCGTAAATTTTTTTATAAAAACTCCAAAAAAATACTTTTTTTTTTTTTCTATAAATACCAATACCTACTCTTCAGTTTTAACAACAAATTCTCATACATCTTCTCCTTCTCCAACTATTATTCTCCTTCTTCAGTTTTTACTTTAAATTGTTTTCATTTTCAAGTTTAATTTTTCTCTATCATTATGGCTTTTTCTCAAGAAACCAGAGGGGCATGGAGGATCATGGAAGATGTCTCGTTGTGTGAGTGTTGGGTCTAAATTAGTCATGATCCCATATCGGGTAATGAGATGAAATTCAGTCAAATGTGGAAAAAAAAATTCACGAATTTGTTGAAAGATCGGGTTCCACCCGTACGGAAAGTGCATTGTCAAGTCGGTGGAAACTTCTCAACAAAGAGTTGGGGAAATGGAGAGATGCCGCCACAAAAGCGATGAATAACCATGCAAGCGGGGAAAATCTCAGCGATGAGGTAAATTATTTGTAATTTTCATTTTATTAATTTTAATGTCCTATTAATTTTAATTTTAATGTTTCTTGCAATTGGTTTTTTTTTTTTTAATATTTCTTGTATTTCCATATTTATTTAAATGTTTCTTGCAATTTTTCTATTTTGTTATTATTTCTTATATTTCTAATATTTATTTAAATGGTTGTTGCATTCTCTATATTTTTTTAATATTTCTTGTATTTCCATATTTATTTGAATGTTTCTTGCAATTTTTTTATATATTTTTTTTTATTATTTCTTGTATTTCTAATATTTATTTGAATGTTTCTTGCATTCTCTATATTTTGTTAATATTTCTTGGATTTTCATTCATATGTTTATCTTTTTTGCATTACCAATATTTCTTGGAGATATCCACGCACCAACTTGAGGGGGAGTGTTGGTGTGAGCCCTGATTTCCTGGTGTGATTCACGTTACCTAATGAAAGTAGTTACCTAGTTAGGATTCCTTGTAATTAGCTAATTACTTTTCCTTGTAGGAAAAGTCAACTTGTACTTGTATATATATATCCTCTTTATGGAGAAATATGAAATATAATTCACAATCATTCAATCATGTGTTTTAGTTTAAGTTGTTAAGATTTCAGAGGGACGGACCCATGGCCCACTACTAGCAACATCGATATTGTCCCCAACTTAACCACATGTTTAGCAGGTGTGGGATTTTATACAAAAGGACTCAATATTATTAGGAGTGTAACCATTTATTATATAGGACTTTCTATTTTGTTAAGGTTCCGATGTGGGACTCTGTGTATTCTTCAACACTCCTCCTCACATGAGACCACTTTTTAGTGGGCCACACATGCAACCAATTCAACATCGGTCACCTTTTTTATAATAAAAATTTGTGGTTTGATTTTGGTTCAATTTGGGGGTTTTGTATGATTTGGGTTTAATCGGGCCCAGTCAACCAGCCCGCTTAAATACCATGTTAAAGTTTAGAGAGACGGCATGCGGTCCATTACTAACAACACCGATATTGTCCCCAACTTAACCACCTATAAAGCCCAGTAGGTTTGAGGTTTATCTCAACATGCCTCGGTTTTATTAAGAGTGGAACTACTTATTATAAGTTGTAATTTATTCAATCAAGTTTCTAATGTGAGACTTTATATTCTTCAACACAGCCCCTCACATGAGACCACCACATAGTGGGCCACACGTGGAGCCAAGTCCACATCGAAGTCAAACATTCAAGCCCAACATGTGAACACCGCGTATTGGGTAAGGATAAACATTCAAGCCCAACATGTCAACACCACATATTGGGTAAGGGGTAAATAATCTAGACCCAATCAATCAACCTACAGTGACAGCCATCCTCTTAACCCTTTACCCACAAGAAACAAAGGTTGAAATATTCAAAGAGGTATAGGTGACTAGATTCAAAATTTTCATCCGGAAGTCAGACCCCGCGATGCACTTGGCGCGGACAATGACACCCTCCTCTCCTTATCTCCCCTCCCAGTGGCGGAGGTAGAGTTTGATATTTGGGGGGGCCACAAGCTTAAAACTATGGGATTTTTTGTGCAATCTATATTACACTCTTTATATAGTCAAAAAGGTGAGAAGATGGTGAGGGGGCCCAGGCCATCTCAGGCCTATGAATAGCTCCGCCCCTGTCCCCTCCTTATTGGAAGGTTTAGCATTGGAGTGGTTCCAAGATCAGCCTACAAGCTTGATCTCTTGTTCTTGAGAGCTAAAGCTGGCCTTTCTAGGGGCCTGTTCCTTTTACAAGGATATGAATAATAAGTTTGATCACCTTTACGAGATCCATTTGAGAGAGGGCAAACGTCTGAGTAGCCATAATAAGTTTATGGCTACAAAAATTCATATCAAGATCGCATCGAAAGCCTTCAAGAAGGGTTTGCCAACTTACCACCTTCTCTATGGGTACGGACCAAAACAGGCATCACGTCTTACAGAGAGCAGAGAAATACATACGATGAGCAATTTGAAAAGCCCAAGAGGAAGAAAACTCTCCCAAGAAGGCAGCAAAATGATTTGATTAACAAACTTATCATCAAGCAGCGCAAAATGATCAAATGAGAACTGATTTTTTCGTTTTTCTGTTTTTCTGAGTGCCCAAGTAGATGATTGTTTTACACAAAAGAATAAGGCCATTATACCAAATTGGATTCACCATCGCAAATAGTTACATAATTCTAAGGAGAAGGAAAAAAAATATTAATTTACGAAAAATGGCAAAGACGCTTTCCCCTTCATTCCCAAACAATTACAAACACATTCCTATTCTATTAGGAAGGAAATCATAAACAAGCATTCCCACAAAAGAAGGTCACATATGTTTTACACCTGAAGGGAATACATTCAACTCCCTTGACATAATTGCGAGTTTCTGGTCAACGGCATTTCCTTCCCAACCTGGAAATGAACATCCAATAATCACAGATCATCAAAACGCACGCTATCTTAAGATCAATAATTCAAACTAGCCCCATCATTGAACCACATCCTTCGAAGTGACATGACCTCTACCTTCAGTGACATTCGTGTTACCAATGACCTCTGGTTCAAACTAGCCCCATCATTGAACCACATCCTTCGAAGTGACATGACCTCTACCTTCAGTGACATTCGTGTTACCAATGACCTCTGGTTCAAACTAGCCCCATCATTGAACCACATCCTTCGAAGTGACATGACCTCTACCTTCAGTGACATTCGTGTTACCAATGACCTCTGGTGCAATTTCCCAGCTCCCACTTCTCCTTCCCCAACTAGAGTGACGCGCATCAGATCGAATGGTGGGAGCCCGGTGATCTGAACCCAAAGCAGAGTCGACCTCTGAGGTATTATGAGGAGGTCCGTTGCTCCCTCTACTGCGTATGTCCTCATCAATTTCTTCAATGTTACGACGCTGCGAGATCTTCAACAGATCTTCACCAATATCTAAATCATCCTCAACCTTTGAACGTGGATCCCCACCCAATTCATCTGATTCTATTTCCCGTGCAGTGGGCAAAGGGGGAGGCCTTTGTAACTCCTCTTCAACGAAAGCCCGAAAGTTATTCCTTGAGGGTTTTAATTCTGTGCAAAATACTTCAAGAAAGTTATTTAAGCAACCCCGGTTGTAAACATTGATCCTGTTGTCAGCTCGGTACCTGAAGTTTTCATATGTAGTCTGAAAAGAGAGTAATGGTATCTAGATATTAGTATAATTAATAGAGGGAATACATTAGACTGTAAAGCAACAAATACTTTCTTCCAAAGGAAGGGGTTAAAATGATGATTCAAATAGTAAAGGTATAACTAAGGACTCAAGATACTTTCCACACGGGGAGAAGAAAGCCACCAGACCCAAATTAACCATATATCTAATAAGTGAAGTTAGTGCCAGGTTTCTCTGTCTGACCTCTTCCTTTTTTCCTTTTTATCAGACATTTTCTGGGGGATGAGGGGAGTAAATACCTTGACAATTACCCTACATAGTGACATTAACTAAGTACAAATCTAAATTGGTGAGCGAGCCTCTAGACATCAATCAAGTACAGATCTACACTGGTGAGAGAAACGCCCACAGTTTTTAGTAGAAAGCTATTAGTGGCTGTCAATTGTACAGTTCCATCATAGACCAAGGGAGTCAGTGTCGTACAAGTTACAAGAGATGGGGAAGCACCTCCAGCAATGACCAAACACACTACATTTATCACTCAGTCACAGATCATCTGCTTTAAGTTCAATTCTTTAAACAAACCACCACTCAGAGATTAAAATTCTGACACCTCAACATGAACATATTGACACAAAAGAAAACACCAATCTGAAATATTAATAACGCTCGAGTCATTTCTTTAACCCATCAGAAGGTTATATAATTAATTCAGCTTCTATCCTCACTACCGATAAGTGACATGAGGTGCATACTTGCATTTATTTTAACTATGAGATCATAAACACATCTGAGATGCTGTCATCGTCAACTTAACAAAGAAGCATGTTAACAACTTATGGAATTAGTACTACCACTTGGGCCATCGCCAACATACTTTATGAACCTCATTTAGGAGGACTTGGACATAAAATTCAATTTTGGTAAAACCAATTGTGAAAGTCTCACAGTGAACCAACAAATACACCAAGAAGAAGATGACTGACCTGGTTGGTACCTATAAGGTACAAATGGAAGCCAGTTAGTCCACCAACAAACCAAAGAGAAATGAAACAATAGGCCATTAGTATCACAGATGCAGGAGATTCTTTCATTGCCTTCCAAACTGTCCCGTGATAATCGTCCATCAGAATTTTGATGTATAAAGCTGATAGCGAGAATACGTAGATGCAGAGAAGTGTTGCAGAAGAAACGAAGAGAAAGAAATAACGATAATTGCACTGCACATAACCCAGACAATTAGATTTCTAATACAAATGCCTCCTGAAGGAAATAAGGATCAACTACAAACAAGAATACACACATCCATCTACCCAGAGCAATAGTAATGGGGAAAGTACAAATCACACAGCACAGTTATGTTTTGCATGTTAAGATCATACCTGTCCAATGCATTGGCCCACCCAAGGGCAGTGGTGATCAAAGCGTTCCACACAATTGTTGCAAATAGAACAATGGGAGCAACGAGGCGGACGATATAGCATACAAGTGTCACAATACTTCACTCTCACAGGAATAGACGGCATGCGGTCCATTACTAACAACACCGATATTGTCCCCAACTTAACCACCTATAAAGCCCAGTAGGTTTGAGGTTTATCTCAACATGCCTCGGTTTTATTAAGAGTGGAACTACTTATTATAAGTTGTAATTTATTCAATCAAGTTTCTAATGTGAGACTTTATATTCTTCAACACAGCCCCTCACATGAGACCACCACATAGTGGGCCACACGTGGAGCCAAGTCCACATCGAAGTCAAACATTCAAGCCCAACATGTGAACACCGCGTATTGGGTAAGGATAAACATTCAAGCCCAACATGTCAACACCACATATTGGGTAAGGGGTAAATAATCTAGACCCAATCAATCAACCTACAGTGACAGCCATCCTCTTAACCCTTTACCCACAAGAAACAAAGGTTGAAATATTCAAAGAGGTATAGGTGACTAGATTCAAAATTTTCATCCGGAAGTCAGACCCCGCGATGCACTTGGCGCGGACAATGACACCCTCCTCTCCTTATCTCCCCTCCCAGTGGCGGAGGTAGAGTTTGATATTTGGGGGGGCCACAAGCTTAAAACTATGGGATTTTTTGTGCAATCTATATTACACTCTTTATATAGTCAAAAAGGTGAGAAGATGGTGAGGGGGCCCAGGCCATCTCAGGCCTATGAATAGCTCCGCCCCTGTCCCCTCCTTATTGGAAGGTTTAGCATTGGAGTGGTTCCAAGATCAGCCTACAAGCTTGATCTCTTGTTCTTGAGAGCTAAAGCTGGCCTTTCTAGGGGCCTGTTCCTTTTACAAGGATATGAATAATAAGTTTGATCACCTTTACGAGATCCATTTGAGAGAGGGCAAACGTCTGAGTAGCCATAATAAGTTTATGGCTACAAAAATTCATATCAAGATCGCATCGAAAGCCTTCAAGAAGGGTTTGCCAACTTACCACCTTCTCTATGGGTACGGACCAAAACAGGCATCACGTCTTACAGAGAGCAGAGAAATACATACGATGAGCAATTTGAAAAGCCCAAGAGGAAGAAAACTCTCCCAAGAAGGCAGCAAAATGATTTGATTAACAAACTTATCATCAAGCAGCGCAAAATGATCAAATGAGAACTGATTTTTTCGTTTTTCTGTTTTTCTGAGTGCCCAAGTAGATGATTGTTTTACACAAAAGAATAAGGCCATTATACCAAATTGGATTCACCATCGCAAATAGTTACATAATTCTAAGGAGAAGGAAAAAAAATATTAATTTACGAAAAATGGCAAAGACGCTTTCCCCTTCATTCCCAAACAATTACAAACACATTCCTATTCTATTAGGAAGGAAATCATAAACAAGCATTCCCACAAAAGAAGGTCACATATGTTTTACACCTGAAGGGAATACATTCAACTCCCTTGACATAATTGCGAGTTTCTGGTCAACGGCATTTCCTTCCCAACCTGGAAATGAACATCCAATAATCACAGATCATCAAAACGCACGCTATCTTAAGATCAATAATTCAAACTAGCCCCATCATTGAACCACATCCTTCGAAGTGACATGACCTCTACCTTCAGTGACATTCGTGTTACCAATGACCTCTGGTGCAATTTCCCAGCTCCCACTTCTCCTTCCCCAACTAGAGTGACGCGCATCAGATCGAATGGTGGGAGCCCGGTGATCTGAACCCAAAGCAGAGTCGACCTCTGAGGTATTATGAGGAGGTCCGTTGCTCCCTCTACTGCGTATGTCCTCATCAATTTCTTCAATGTTACGACGCTGCGAGATCTTCAACAGATCTTCACCAATATCTAAATCATCCTCAACCTTTGAACGTGGATCCCCACCCAATTCATCTGATTCTATTTCCCGTGCAGTGGGCAAAGGGGGAGGCCTTTGTAACTCCTCTTCAACGAAAGCCCGAAAGTTATTCCTTGAGGGTTTTAATTCTGTGCAAAATACTTCAAGAAAGTTATTTAAGCAACCCCGGTTGTAAACATTGATCCTGTTGTCAGCTCGGTACCTGAAGTTTTCATATGTAGTCTGAAAAGAGAGTAATGGTATCTAGATATTAGTATAATTAATAGAGGGAATACATTAGACTGTAAAGCAACAAATACTTTCTTCCAAAGGAAGGGGTTAAAATGATGATTCAAATAGTAAAGGTATAACTAAGGACTCAAGATACTTTCCACACGGGGAGAAGAAAGCCACCAGACCCAAATTAACCATATATCTAATAAGTGAAGTTAGTGCCAGGTTTCTCTGTCTGACCTCTTCCTTTTTTCCTTTTTATCAGACATTTTCTGGGGGATGAGGGGAGTAAATACCTTGACAATTACCCTACATAGTGACATTAACTAAGTACAAATCTAAATTGGTGAGCGAGCCTCTAGACATCAATCAAGTACAGATCTACACTGGTGAGAGAAACGCCCACAGTTTTTAGTAGAAAGCTATTAGTGGCTGTCAATTGTACAGTTCCATCATAGACCAAGGGAGTCAGTGTCGTACAAGTTACAAGAGATGGGGAAGCACCTCCAGCAATGACCAAACACACTACATTTATCACTCAGTCACAGATCATCTGCTTTAAGTTCAATTCTTTAAACAAACCACCACTCAGAGATTAAAATTCTGACACCTCAACATGAACATATTGACACAAAAGAAAACACCAATCTGAAATATTAATAACGCTCGAGTCATTTCTTTAACCCATCAGAAGGTTATATAATTAATTCAGCTTCTATCCTCACTACCGATAAGTGACATGAGGTGCATACTTGCATTTATTTTAACTATGAGATCATAAACACATCTGAGATGCTGTCATCGTCAACTTAACAAAGAAGCATGTTAACAACTTATGGAATTAGTACTACCACTTGGGCCATCGCCAACATACTTTATGAACCTCATTTAGGAGGACTTGGACATAAAATTCAATTTTGGTAAAACCAATTGTGAAAGTCTCACAGTGAACCAACAAATACACCAAGAAGAAGATGACTGACCTGGTTGGTACCTATAAGGTACAAATGGAAGCCAGTTAGTCCACCAACAAACCAAAGAGAAATGAAACAATAGGCCATTAGTATCACAGATGCAGGAGATTCTTTCATTGCCTTCCAAACTGTCCCGTGATAATCGTCCATCAGAATTTTGATGTATAAAGCTGATAGCGAGAATACGTAGATGCAGAGAAGTGTTGCAGAAGAAACGAAGAGAAAGAAATAACGATAATTGCACTGCACATAACCCAGACAATTAGATTTCTAATACAAATGCCTCCTGAAGGAAATAAGGATCAACTACAAACAAGAATACACACATCCATCTACCCAGAGCAATAGTAATGGGGAAAGTACAAATCACACAGCACAGTTATGTTTTGCATGTTAAGATCATACCTGTCCAATGCATTGGCCCACCCAAGGGCAGTGGTGATCAAAGCGTTCCACACAATTGTTGCAAATAGAACAATGGGAGCAACGAGGCGGACGATATAGCATACAAGTGAAGGCTTGGAGTCTGTCTTCCACCAGCATTAGCAGCCACTTGTCTTCCACCAACATCAGTAGACACTGAAGGGTCATAACGAAACTCTTCCTCCGGTGGATGTGCATTTCGTGGAATAATCCCAGGGTCCCGTGCTGAAGTAAGAAAAAGAAGCACCAACACCTATCAAAATCAACTAAAGAATTAATTTATGCCAAAAACTAGGACAATAGAAGAGAGAGAACTGAAGCTGAAACACCATCGGAGAGACTGTTACCAATCTGAATAAGAATGTTATCTAAGACAATGAAACAAGGGGGAAAAAAACATTTCAGAGGGTGATGAATATCATAATCTGAATACCAGAGTTGCAAATCACTACACTTCATGGCTATGCAGTATGTCAGAAGAAGATTAACCAATGAATTATGATACATATATTCCAAAAATTAGGCGACCTTGAATCAAGACCTTAAAACAAACGGAGAGAATAATTCTTCTAACAGAGTTCAGGGACTATTCTTTTATGTTATACTATCTGATTGGAAAGCAGAAGTATCTAGTCTTGTTCTTGTCATCTGGGCTATTTTGATTTCATCTTTTCTGGTGGCTGTTTTATAATCCTTAGAGATTGCTGTCAGGTCTTAAAGGACAACTTGCCCTCTATCCTCTATTTTGTACCCTTCGAGTTTCCTTTTATGTAAATTTGTTTCTTATCAAAAACCACTGACAGCAGGGTAAGGCCTGTGTATAAATTTGTAGCGACAGAGTTTTCCTCCATGTTTTAGTAAGCCAAACAAAGTCTGCTCTTTAATATTAATTGCCCACAATTTCCTATAAAAAATTATCTATTCTTTACAATTATAGAGAAAAGTAAATTTGAGAGAAAAGCCTCAAGACCTAAACATAAGATTTACAACAAATGAATTATGAGAGCTTGAAATGAATCTTAATCTTAATCACCATTACAACACCACCAATCACATGCCAAATGTTCAATTAACAGTGCTTATAAAATCAATTTCATGGGACTCTGGGATTCCGAGGTAAAACAGTCACTGGCAAGTTTGTAGAAGTGTCAATAGTAATATTTGCAGACCCAATGGAAGACAACACAGGGCAACCCCAGAAACAGAATAACATTATTATGCCTATTAATGGCCACATTACCCAAACCGTTCATCTGCATGCCGGCATGCCAAGCACATGACCTTCAATTAATTGATCACCATGACACTATCTCTCTCTGGTCCACTCCCACTTCTCTAGCCCCACCACCCATTCAGGACCCAGCTCACAAACCCCCCGCCATCCCAACCCCTTCCCCCTATTCCATCCAGGGCCCCTAACCATTATTCACATTTACATAAAATAAAATAAAATAACTTCAATTTGACGAAGGGAACGCGTTGACTAACGTAATCAAACACAGGGACCAAATTCACCAAATGGAAAAAACGACGACCAAATTGACCATTCATGTAAAAGACAGGGACCCAAAAGGTATCTAACCCTAAAATAATCTTACACTAGATGAGTGCAAAATCATCAAAAACAAAAAACAAGAACCAAACAAATAAAAGGTTATGAGACTTACATAGATAGTAAATACAATTGCTACCACTAGTATTGCATATCCTGCATTATATGATGAAAACTCATGCCGGAGATGCCATGCAACAAATACACAAAAGATCACAACCGGAGCAATGATCAACAATAATGTGACAAGCAGTGACTTGGCATCTGGCCCAAATATCAACCTTCCACCGAGGATGAACTTCTGCAAAAGATGAACAGAAAGGAAGTTAAAGAACAAAATAAAAATTGAGAGTAGGGGGGAGAGAGAGGATGGAAGAAGAGAACAGAATTTGATCAAACTAGAGCAATTACAGTAGACAATGGAGATTATAGCTAGGCTCGTGATATTAAAAAGTCCATAAATAATTTGCTTTTCCTCAATCATTCAAATACAAACATAGAGCAAACAGTCATATAAGAGCCACAGTTGCAGTGCTGGAGTTCGGTCATTATGAAGATGTGTTATGTTCTTGCTGGAGCAAGAAACTGATCAACCTAACAATGATGAGTGGAAATAATTTCAGCTACTTCTGTATATAGACATACAATTTACAAACAGGGCCCTCCTTAGAAGTGATTCTGTTTTTAGAGATCTCACTGTTCGGCCCACCAAGATATGCATTCAAATTATCTAAACTGTTCATTTTATATCCAAACTAAAAATCATTTTTTATCTTTTTTATCATAATCAGGATCATTTCAATGTTTATTCGAAACACTGTGTTCATCTACCTATTTGATCCAATTGGACGACTAAGTGACTTCAAATTAGGCTTTTTCTGTAAGGATAATCTTTGACTAAGTGACTTTCATGTTATTATTTAATGTGCTTAGTATAACTGCATTCTATTCAACTACTAAATAGCAGTTTCAGCTTTAATTCATGTTATTGTAAAAATGACTTAATAAAAAGGCTTAACAAGCTTAAAATATAAGCACCTCAAAAAATTAGGACAATGAACACTTATTCAAGAAATCAGATAACAAAAAATCATGAAGAAAGAGCGCCACGGACTCGGGGTAGAATGATTATTAAAACAGGCATTAAATTACATGCCCATGCATAGACATCTTAAGGTATCAATAAAAGAGCCATGCATGGCTTCGATCACATAATCTATTCTCAATGAGAATTGCATTTTCCATTCTTTCAACCAATGTTTGCTTTTATACCTTTTCACAAATCATATTTACAAGAATAGAACCACAACATGATGTATTGTGGACCTTTGGAAGAAAAGGAAGAAATCATCTATCCAAAACATGCAATCCAGCAAAAAGCATTCATCCAACTGTAAACCTGGATTGCAGCATTGAGATAAGGAATGGGACCTCCAGGTGGGCAAGAAACAATGCCAGATGACTCACAAACACATAAAACCAATGTGTTACAAGCCTCTTGAGGAGCAAGTTTATTGTCCTTACATGGATAAAATAGCCAAACGATGATTAAGTCCTACAAAATTGAGGCTCGTGCCAAACAGAAATACAGCAGTCAGAAGCTAGGTTAAAGATCCTTTCAAACAGTATGTAGGGACAAACAGGATCTCTAGCCAGAAAATGCAGCTTTTGACATATACCTAGGAGCTGTAGGTCCTCCTCACTATGGCAACTTATTCACTACAAAGATAAATACTATATAAAACTGGCTTTCCCAATGCTAAGCCAACTAATGTCAGCGTTTTCAACCAAAAAAAGTTCAAAAAATAGAAAGTCCAGATATGATGTGGTACTAAAAAAATGTTCTCTCCTCATACAATGAATTGCATCTAACAGAAGGGTGAAACATGGTTACAGACATAACATCAAATGGCAGTTCTTTTTTTCCTTGACATCAACTACAAGTGGGCATCAATTTCACAACCTCATAAAATGAATAAACCAAAATTACAGATAAAAGTCCGATACACCACCACTTCACTCTCATACTTCCCCATATAATACTTATGTAAACCCCAACACAAACCTTCATCCGTTATTCTAATAAAAATGTTGCGGATACAGAAGTACATCACAGTTCAAGTTTTTCTTACAACTCCAGACAATGCTCCCATGCAGTTAACCTTAAAAAATTGTTTAACTTAGTTCGCTTGAAAAATACTCAAAATTTCCTTTCCTACTCATTTCTCCATGTTCTGAGCAACCAACAGATAGAAAGTGGGAATATAAATTTTAGGAAAATAAATAAATAAAAACCAAAACTTTCCCAAATAAGAGTCTAAGCAACAAGAAGAAAACGAAAACCAGAAGCAATAAACTAGATGCTGCATTATACTTTCATTTGTTTGCCTAGGAAAAGCAAATGAAATAGAAGAAAATGGCAACTACAAGCTCCAAGTGACCTTTTATAAACAAACCCAGAAACCAATCCCACTCAACTGCGTCCACCACCCGAAGCTCCTGAAGTTCATTGTTCCTTGTATTTCATCAAGCAAAAGTAAGTGTCTCCATTTTCAAAGCAACCAAACAGGAAATAAACTTAAAAAACCTAATTTGAACCAAACTTAAGACTGTAACCAAACGAACCACTGAATCAATCAAAACTCACTAATTTTCGCACAAACCAACAAATCTAAAGCATACCCAAATGATAAATCCCAGTAAAAGATCCAAATTTGAAAAGAAAGAGAGCCTTACATTACTTCCTTTCCACACTTCGTACACGCGCTTTGCCATGAGAGAACTCAACTCGCTTGTCTTGACGCACTAGGCAGGAACAGAGTCGAAGATTTGGAACTTGTGGGCGTTCATCTCCTTTGCACTCACACTCTCCCCAAAACCCAAATCACAATGAAACCCTGCCGCTCTCTGCTTTTCGGCGATTGAAGATAAATTCGACAACGGGCTGTGGGCTTTCTGAAGGATTCAAAAACGAAATGTAATGCCAAATATTTTGTGAGATGGCGGTTTCAATTTCAGAAATTTGGGAGTGTGATTTTTTGTGTGGAATATTTTTTTGTGGAAAATTGTGTACACTCGGATATATAGGGAAATTGGAAAAGAAAAAAAGAAACTAACAACAATAAATAAGAGGAATTTTTTGAATTTTGATCCGATTAGCCTGTACTTCTGTAGGTTTAGGGTTCTTTTGGTTATAAAAAAGTTTTAAAAAAAAATAAAAGAAATATATGAATTTACTCGTCTACCCCTTAACGAGTATAAACCTTTTTAATTTAGCTGCCACATTTGGAACAGATGGCGGGCCATGTCTGGTGTGGATGATCAGAGTGGCGATAGTTTTACTAGGATTTTTCCTTTTTTTTACTTTGCTTTTGTTGGATTTTAAAAATGATTTTCCATAGGCAGAGAGGCAAAGAGAATATGTTTCTTTATCACTTTTTTTTAACCTTTATTTTGGGTTTTTTATGATACCAAAGAATGCATGACCAGCCAGCCTCGGAGATTGAAGATCCCCTTTCTATGCATTTTGCATGTCTTCCATGCCTTTTTTTTTTCTTTTTTTTTTTGGGGGGGTAATTAACGGTCATGAATGTGGTTTCCAGCATCTTATTTCTTTTGAGGCTTATATATATATTTTTTTTAATCAAAGATATATTCATTAGATAAACTTTAACAATATAATCAAAGATATCGACATGATGTCTAGAGTACAATCCCAAGACAGCAACAAACTAACATGTTTGAAATAAAATTAACGTGCATAAAAACAGCACTAAAACTACTATTCACATCACTACAATTAACCATAAGTCTAAACAAAGTCCTTAAACCTAACATAACCTAAACTCTAAGGCAACCCATGTGCTTAAATGAACCCTATCACCACTACATCTTCGCGGACGCACCCACCACTGCATCCGTAACAGGTCTGGGGAAAATATGATTTACAGAGGTCTACTTGCACATAAGAGCAAACAAATGAACAAAAACAACAACCTTACCAGAGAACAATTGGGTGATTTGCAGCAACCTCTATCAAAGACGATGTATAACCAAATTTAAAGAACACAAGCGGTGTTAGAAAGTTGGTTTTAGGAGAATGATTTGATTGAGAACATACCCCAAAAGGGGTGATGGAGAACTTCAATCTGAGCATGGCTTAAAAGATATCACCACAAGGGGCTTCTTATTCAAACGCTCTAGTGGACTTATTTGCTAACCCAAAGGAAAGGCTAGAAGAGAGGAGAGGGAGGAAAAGTCATGACGCTTCTTTTTCCTCCCCCTCTATGGAGTTTTCCTTTGGGATTCACAGAGGGAGAGATCGGCTAGGCTTTTTTTTTCTTATGAAGTTGGAACTTGAAGATTGAATTTGGGATAGGCTTATAACAGCTACAATCTAACTTTTCAGTAGGCTCAATTACCATTTGAATTATGATATGAAGTGTAACATCCCACATCGACCAACAGAGAGGGGGTGATGTGCCTTATATGTACATGCCCGCCTCCATTTAGCACGAGGCCTTTTAGGAGCTCACTGGCTTCGGAGTCATGGGAACTCCGAAGTTAAGCGAGTTGGGGCTAGAGCAATCCTAGGATGGGTGACCCACTAGGAAGTTGCTCGTGAGCTCCCAAAAAAAAAAACCGTGAGGGCAGAGAGAGAGGCCCAAAGCGGACAATATCGTGTTACGGCGAAGCTGATTCCGAGATGTGACAATTTGGTATCAGAACCACTCTGCCGTGTGGTGTGAGTGTGCTGACGAGGACGTCGGGCACTAAAGAGGGGTGGATTGTAACATCCCACATCGACCAACGAAGAGGGGGTGATATGCCTTATATGTACATACCCGCCTCCATCTAGCACGAGGCTTTTTGGGAGCTTAATGGCTTCGGAGTCATGGAAACTGCGAAGTTAAGCAAGTTGGGGCTATAGCAATCCCAGGATGAGTGACCCACTGGGAAGTTGCTCGTGAGCTCACAGAAACAAAACTGTGAGGGCAGAGATGAGGGCCCAAAGCGGACAATATCGTGCTATGGCAGAGCCGATCCCGGATGTGACATGAAATGAGTTGTTGTTTCACATATTCATCTTTTTTAATCACAAATAATGATTAAGTGAGACAAATGAGACTAAGTGTTGTGATGATTAAACTCAAAAGTATTTAACTTGAAATATATGGTTTTAATCATCTAACTTTAATGAAACAAAAGAAATATTCAACTGAAATCTATGTGATTTAACTTGAAGAAATTTTATGAGTTATGCTTTAATACTCATACTCTCAAGCTTTCAACAATGGTTGAAAATAAATGAAACATAAGAATTATTCAACCGAAATCATTGTGATTTAACTTCAAGAAATTCTGTAAGTTATGTTATCATACTCATACTTTTAAGCTTTCAACAATGATTGAAAATAATGAAGAAGTTTTTGAATGCTCGAGAACACTTAAGAAATATTTCAAAAACTAAAACCAAGTCTACATAAGATTTTGAAAAGATGCAGTTTCTATTCAAATGAAATAATCAAGTTTTAAAAGAAGACCAAGGTTGTATATAGATATATTGAAAATTAGTTTCAAAATAGGAGTTTAATATTATACCAAGAAAATCTGAACAAGAATGAGTAGTTGGGAAAAAAAGAAGAAATAGTTGTTAGGATTAAAATCACATAAGCTTAAAAGTCAAAATACAGATTTTGAAAAATGACAAACAACTGGAGGGAATGATTTTCCCCTCGAGAATATTTGTTAAAGATTCCTTCGTCTTCTCCGCTTCTCTTTCTCCCTGCAAAACAGATCGGAGTAAAAGGACCACACCCGTGGGGTGTTGGCCAAAGGCCCTCCGATGCCTAAGTTAGGTAAGGTATTTCAAGGAAAACCGGCCCTGTGTGGTGACTGGAGCCTTGTGTCAGAGAGAGAAAGAATATGGTGGCTAAGGTTTGTGAGAAATGATTTCTGCAGAGTTTTAGTAGGAATTTAGACGTACCTCCACCATTGTGTGTGGCTATAATTTTATAATGGTCTTGGAGGCTAGGGTTTCAGAGGAATAATTAAGTAGATGGAAGGGAATTATTCCTCCCATTTATGGAATTGATTTGATTAATTAGGGATTTGATTTATTAGGGTAAATCAAATCCCTAATTATGGTAGGTATCAAATCAAATCTCATTTTAATTAGGTAACTCCTCATTTAATTGAGAATCGGGGTAGGAATTGGGAATCAATTCTCAACTCAATTAGGTAATCTTCAATTTAATTAGGTAATCCCCAATTAAATTGAGTAACTCCCAATTAGGTTGATTAATTCCCAATTAGGTCAAATAATCCCCAAATGGAATGAATTATTTGACCTAGGGTTTTGATTTAATTTGGTTACCACAAATGCCCCCCAGCTTCTGCATGGCGCGTGGTGGCATGTAGGAGATGTAAATGATCCGTTGAGTTGTCCAGCTGTAACTGGGCTTCCTTCGTGGACCTGGGCTCCTGAGTAGAGGAGGTGCTTGACTTGCCAATTTTATGAACTCCCAAGTTGGAAAGAGTTGGCGATTCCTTGTAGGTCAAGGAATTTTGATCCTTATAAATGTAGGGCTCCTCCAATTTATTCTTCACATCAAAAGTCTATTCCACCGATTCCGTCAGTGAGAGAGAGAGAAAACTTTGGAGGGCTTTTCCAGCGTGCTTGAAACTTCATCTTTGCTGTCCATCCAAGGTAATTAGCCTGGAAAAATTGTTGTGTCTATGACTTTTGGCAGCTTGGTCAGTGTCTTCTAGTTGGTCATTGGAGCTGTGAGACATGGGGCGTGGTTGGTGAGTTGTGCCCACGGGCTGGAGCATGGCAGGCTTAAAGCTGCACGCTTTGGGCTCGAGCATGGAGGTCTGGAGGCGCTAAGCCTGGCATGCGAGGTGGGCTCGAGCTGTGGCTGGTTGGCGCTGGAGCTGGCGTTCGCTGGGCCTTCGCATGGAACGCGGGCCAGGTGCTGGAGCTGTCTTGCGCGAGGTGTGGGCTGCGCGCGCTGGAGTCGGGCCTTGCCGAGACTTGGGCTGCGCCTGCTGCTGTTTGGAGCGAACAGGCCAGGTGCTAGGCGGGCCTCCGTGCTGGACTTGGTGGTGGGCTGTGTGCTAACCAAGCTTTGAGGAAGTGGCAGCTTGGGCTGCCCCATTCTACTCAGGCTTGGACTAGTTCGAGCTACTCTAGGATTTTTTTTCTCCTTTTTTTTTCTGTTGTTGCTGCTGCTGCTGTTTTTTTTTTCTTCGACTTGCGAATTTTTTTTGGTATTCTAACTTGCAGAATTCTTTCTTTTTTTGCAGCTACTCGTTGACCAGCCATGTCTTCGAGGACGGTAGCAAGGCTCCAAGCTCTCAGGCACCTTTATACTTGTGGGGAGGCTCCCTAGTGCCTAGCAAGAAATTCGTGGCCAACTTGCACCGCGTGACGACCGA